GCTGCTGAAATGCTATGCACAAGTGTGCCGAGAGGAAAACAAATCTAGAAAGAAAATAAAACATGTTTTTGCTATATGGGATATTGAGGCTGAAACTGACCGGGCAGTTTTGGTTACAATCACTAGAAAAACAACTAGCAGAAGTCTCAAAGTCTTCAGACTTTTTTTTTTTTTTTTTGCAGCTACAGTTGTCTGATTTGAAATTGAAATATTAGCCTGGTACTGGTCTGGTGCACATGCCCATTTACTGAGGGCATTTACTAAAACAATTGATGCTGAAGAACTATGTATGGATATTGTGTATATCAATGAGATAGGGCAAAATTGTCCAATCCTGAATGCAATAGGGGAAAATTGCATTGTGGCTGTTGCTTAAAATGACATGTTACTGAAGGTTATGAAGGCCATCGCTAATGGTTGACCAGGTCATCCTTTCCAAGCTCTGTATTAGCAACTTTGTGGCGAGTTCTCAGTACAGGCAATCTCCAGTTTAAGAACGAGTTCCGCTCCCAAGGTCTGTCCTTAAGTCGAATTTCTATGTAAGCTGGAACAGTATTATTGTATAATACTGTATAAGTAGTATTGTGTATTTAACTGAAATAATTGTGTATTTAACTCAAATTTTGCGGCAATAGGCTCCATTCTTAACTACGGGTCACCCATAAACTGGGTGTTCTTAACCTGGGAACTACCTGTAATACATGTTCTGTTAAACTGTAATTTGCTAATTGTCCTTAAAATTTTAAGAGCAGATATAATCGAGGGGTTTATAACTGGGATACTGAAAAACACAAAAGGAGGGCTTAGAAGTTCTTATATTGATCGGTGTAAATACTAGATTTATTTAACCCAGAGGGAAAGGTCTGTTCATTCTTTTAATATTTCTCACTACCCTGGCTTTATTTTATTCAGTGAGATAAACACATGATGGGGTATACAGTATATTCAGGTTCTTTTTTTCTAGACACGAGATACTTCACACAGTAATGTCTCACATGGCTCCGTTTTCAAGCAGCAATAGTCTCCAGTGTGCCATTTTCACTCTAGGTTATCAAGTCCAATAGGCTTGTCAAAAATAGTGTCAAAATCATTAAAAGATTCCAGAGGAAATCAATGTCCTGAGTACAACTGCGTATGTAGCCACTGTAACTTAACAGCTCCATTACAGCATGGATTGTCACTCACTGAGAAGTTATTTAACAGAAATCTATGCACTTAGTTACCAGGGTAGATGGAAACAAGTAATGGAAATAATGCTGCTTAGGAGAGGCATCAGAAAAAGAACGAAGTCTTGCAAAAAGGATTCTATGCTACTTGAACCCAGTTGTAATATTAGGATTTTCAGTGGCAATTCCAGGGCTCAGGAAGAATGTATTTTGCATGACTCAGGATGGATATCTGCAAATTGTTATTGAATTAAAACAGGTTATGACAGAACTCAGCAAGAAACTACCACTGAACTGAGTCAGAACAGAGTCTTTGAAGAAAGCATGGTGGGGAGAGAGGCAAACGGTACTGTTGTAACTGAAGAGCCTAACTTGGTTTCATGGATACCAAAAATAATAGGTAGAGTGGTAGAGCACCTGTTTGATGTTGATAATAAAGTAGAATGCTTATTTAAAAAGAGAAAAGGGGAAGGGAATAGTTTGCTGTCCATTTTAAGAGTTGTGTTAGTTAGAGCTAGTTGAGACTGGTTGTAAGTCTAGGCAGCTTGTTTTAGAAGCAGCCAGCTATAGAAAGAGCTCTCTGTCGAGTGATTTATTTAAACAATTAAACAATGAAAGCAGCACAAGAAAATCCCTCAGGATATGCAGATTTCAAAATTTATTAACAATTTAAATTACATTTTTAAAAAGCATAAAAAGAGTTAAATATTGACAACAGAGGATACAAAAATTACATATTTCTTTCCTTTTATACCTATTAAATGTGGCTAGCATTGCAAGCAAATGTTACAGGTGAAACTCGAAAAATTAGAATATCGTGCAAATGTTCATTTATGTCAGTAAGGCAACTCAAAAGGTGAAACCAATATATGAGATAGACGCATTACATGCAAAGCGAGATATGTCAAGCCTTACTTTGGTATAATTGTGATGATTATGGCGTACAGCTTATGAAAACCCCAAATTCACAATCTCAGAAAATTAGAATAGTGTGAAAAGTATAATTGTGATGATTATGGCGTACAGCTTATGAAAACCCCAAATTCACAATCTCAGAAAATTAGAATAGTGTGAAAAGTATAATTGTGATGATTATGGCGTACAGCTTATGAAAACCCCAAATTCACAATCTCAGAAAATTAGAATAGTGTGAAAAGTATAATTGTGATGATTATGGCGTACAGCTTATGAAAACCCCAAATTCACAATCTCAGAAAATTAGAATAGTGTGAAAAGAGTCCCCAACACTTTTGAATGGCCTTTTCCTGACAATCCTCTCCAGGCTGCGGTCATCCCTGCTGCTTGTGCACCTTTTTCTACCACACTTTTCCCTTCCACATAACCTTCTATTGATGTGCTTTGATACAGCACTTTGGGAACATCCAACTTCTTCTGCAGCTACCTTTTGGGGCTTTCCCTCCTTATGGAGAGTGTCAATTATGGTTTTCTGCACAACTGTCAGGTCAGCAGTCTTTCCCATGCTTGTGATTCCTACTGAACCAGCCTGAGAGACCATTTAAAGGCTCAGGAACCCTTTGCAGGTGTTATGGATTCATTAGCTGATTAGAGTGGGACACTTTGAGCCTAGAATATTGAACCTTTTCACACTATTCTAATTTTCTGAGATTGTGAATTTGGGGTTTTCATAAGCTGTATGCCATAATCATCACAATTATACCAAAGTAAGGCTTGACATATCTCGCTTTGCATGTAATGCGTCTATCTCATATATTGGTTTCACCTTTTGAGTTGTCTTACTGACATAAATGAACATTTGCATGATATTCTAATTTTTCGAGTTTCACCTGTATGTGAAAGGGGAAAAAAGCATTAGCTAGAGGGAATCCCTCCTCATCAGCAGTCACAAATAAGATCTCACCAAAGAGAGTACAGGGAGTGAATGTCTGAGGATGACGCTGCCTCTCATATAAAACCTCAAATGCTTTATGAAAAGCAACCTCAGGAATACTGTCCAGCAAAACAGTATTCCATGTTTTTATCAGCTGTGAAATTGTGCAACCACACTGTTCTGATCAGAAAAGAAGACTGACCAGTTAGACAGCTAATCTGGTAACAGTACTAGAAGCAGTGGACCAGTATAAGTCATTTGTATCACCTTACTATTGTTCATATCACCCAATGAAAAGCACAGGCCAAATAAAAAAACATTTTGTCGCTTATATGATTATCATTATCAAGCACACTTCGCCTTGATCTTTTTATTTTAAAAATAGAAGTAATCATTATGCTATAAGAATTGGATTAATGTCTAACAATCAGATTCAAATACACAAAACATAAAGGCTGAAATCTGTTTTAAAAAATGGCTAGCTTTCTCAGCAGAATGCAAAATGTCTTATCTTCTCATTCATAACAGGCCATGGTAGAAATTTTTACTGATATTTTATTGAACATCACCCCCTAGTGATCTACAAGGAGAATACACAAGAAAAAAACTTGTCTAAATTCTTTCAGGGGCCAGTTGTTTAAATTATGCATATTTGAACCTAACCTAATTTCTTAAACCTTAGGGGGGGAAAAGGTCCATTTTCTAGAATGTTTGACAGTGACTTGTAGCTTGAAAGATTTCCCTTCAAACTTGGGAGGAAATCTGGTGGATCCTCCTAACGCTCAAAACAAGCATATTTTAGGTAATACCAAAAAGCAGAATAAAACTTTATTACTCTTTTTTAAAATATACTTAATGGAATAAATACTTGCTTATTCCAGTTTCTACATATTTTCTTACAGTGTTTAGAAGAGAGAACTATGGGACATCAGGTTGTTCATCCTCAAGACATATAGTCCACAGCCAACACTGTGAGAGATTGCGTTCCCCAGATGGTCTACGGTACATTCTTCACCAGGAAAAAATTGAACTTACTTCTGAAAATGTATGAGGTGGTCAAGGATCATGTGCTCAGATTGGGTGGGGGTGGGGGGTTTCCATAGAGACTCATTCTCCTCTGTGGTCCTTCCTGGACTGACCATGTGCCACACAATTGAAGTTCATTCCAGAAAGAATTGCATGAAAGCAAGTTGCCTTTTCAAAGAGGTTGCACTCTTGAGAGAATGAAGATTTTTGGCTGCAAAAGGAAAAGCATAATAACCCCTCTCTGGTGTAAATGGACAGCAAGTTTATGTCTGGATACTTTGTGTGTAAATTCAGATATCAGTCTGAGCATAAATCTGCCCCTATGAAGCAACTAATAAAAGACCTCAGCTCTGTAGTAATCAGTACATCCCTACCCACTATATAATATGGTGCTGTTCTCCTTTCAAACCATACACTAGAAGCATAATCAGATGGAGAAGTCACTCACACATTCTGTGTTCTGTTGGCTGTTTTTAATTTTGAACAAAAAACAGGTTTATGTACCTGACAGTGGATCTTATCCTACACAAATTATCTTGCCTGTACCCCTACGGAACCTGTCTTCATTCAGCTCAATAATACTTCATTTTTTGCAGCACATGTTTTCAACCAACCAACCACTCTTTTTTCTCTTTCTCTTATGGTCAATAGTTGCAGCTGCCAAAGCATCCTGTTCTGTGAAAGATAACTTTATTAAATATAATAAGGTTATAAAAATAGAGAAGCAGCAGCTAATGCAGAAAGACAGGAGGGAAGGAAGGGCAGATGGCTTAGGGCAGAGATGAAAACTTCTAATGTGGTTTTCCTGAGAAGTCTGGCTCAGAAACAGCTGCAGAATCTGACTGTATCCTTCAGGACAGTTTCAGAAAGTCAGCTTCCTGTTTCCCAGACATTTGTACCACATTGTACCGGTCAAATGCAATACTAGACATCAAACTATCATTTCAGGTTAAGAAAGCTTTTATCAAAGATCATTTATTGTTCATTTCAATATGTACATTTCTTACTCTCATTTTTATTTCTCCCCAAAGTAAAACATCAACTAGCTGAAAAGATGAAACAGTCCAAATGTTCTATCAAAACTGGGCCAGGCTGAGGGTAAGTGCAGATGCTTTCCTGTTGTGCTCAGGAAGAGCACCATGAATCCAACTGAGCTTTTCCAAAATCTCTGTCCACTGGTGCTCACTTCCTCAGTTAGCCAGCCAGAGTCTTCTTTATCTGTCTGAAACTGATGTTCCCTCGCTGCATTCTTTCTTAGTTATTGCTTGCAGGTAGTTCAGGCGAATGGCAGGAAGCTCTTCGTAAAGGTCAAACCCCAATGGGTTCTCTTTATCTGCCCTCTTGTAATAGAGAAGATGTCTCTTCAGTCCCTGAAAGAAGTAAGAGAGAATTAAGGGTGCATGGAAAAGAGAAACCATTTCCCCAGTAAAACCCAATATAACCTCAAATCTTGAATTAGGGGAAAAGATGAAATACATAGTACTTGTTCAGTTGTTGTATCCAACTCATACAATCCATACATTTGCCATGGAAAATCTGCAGCTTAGCAGTTCTACATTAACTGCAATACTGAGCTGCAGATAATTTTTCCTACTGCTACAAGTATTGACTCTGCACTAAACAATAGTAATAACGTATTATTGATGATAAAAAAACGAATTAAGCATTCCAAGTTCTATGTGTGTTTTACATTAGTACTCCTTTTCTCCCATTACATTTAGTAGGTTGTCTATATCCTTCCACTGAATTTGTGCATGAAGAGGGATTTGAGTTAAACAAATAGTGGCTCATAAAAACAAAGGGCTCTGCTGTTGGATATAAGAATGTTTAGGAGTGCTCCTTCCACTCTGTAGCCTCAGTACATTTAAGAGTATTTTCCAGACAAATTATTCAACTAGGCCCCCATCCCCCAGGTGGGTTGTATACCAGATGAAAGCATAAGCCCACCTCTGAAAGGCATATATGCTAGAGCAGTGTTTCTCAACTTCAGCAACTTTAAGATGGGTGGACTCCAACTCCCAGAATTCCCCAGCCAGCATGCTGGCTGGG